GGGGCAGGAAACAGCCAGCTTGGCTGGAGCCAGGCAGACCAGGCCAGGGCTGGGAATTCCCTCCTCCCTCCCCGATCCAAGCCCAGTATCCCTTGTTCAGTTTCTCCTCCAGGCTATCCATCTCCTGCGGACGCACCTTTCCCTGCTCTCACTCTGCACTCATTCTCTAGCCTCTAAGAGTTATGATTGTGTCTCCTTCTGGGCCCTGCCCTCAACCCCACCTCAGGCTCTTGGTTGCTTGAATTGTCTCCTTTGATGGGGGATGCAGTTCATCATCATGGTGGGGGGGGGGGGAGTAGGTGCATGGCCGGAATGGAAGAGAAACCCAGGTGCACGGAGAAATGAGGCTGGGTGGAGCAAGGGGCTGATGAGACTGGAGGGGTGAAGAGATACAACAGCTTACCGCAGATTCAAACCCTGTATTTCGGACCCCCTGAGCACCAGGACTCCCTCAGCTAGAGCGAGCAAAGCACCACAGCTAAGAAGATACCCAGTTGGTCCCGCATCATAGGTCATCAGCCCCCATCCCCCAGCAGGTAATTCAGTTCCTAATATCTAGTGTACACCAAACAAGGAATGATTAAAATGAAACCTTTATTGAACATCTACTGTGTGCCAGGTGATCACCGTGCCAGTTTGCAAGATTTGTAAAACAGGGCTTCTCACCTCAAAGGTCGATACTCTGGTGGAAATCCCATTATTTCCCTCTTCCATGGAGACGACAGCTGAGATTTTTCACTCCTATCCTCAAAAATCACCCTCGGTCTCTCCTGGGGGTGTGAGGTCATTTCCTCCACCCTCGGACCACTTCGCAGGCAAGCGAATTCAGTCTCCACTGAGTGTCATCACACAGGCGAGCACCCATGTCACTACCTGGTTTGATGCTTGCTCCACAGACCCAAACAAATGTCAAGCCCTCCTTCCTTCATTATTAGAGCACTTCACTGTCCTCCCAGCCCAAATATGTGGCTGTCCTCCCTGTTCCCTGTCCATGATCAATATATTGCTGTGGCAGTGCCTGTGTGGAGCACACCTCTCCCCCAGCAGCTGGTAGGGTTTTCTCTTTGCTATCCACCTGGTTACAGTTGTTTGGAGTGGGCTTGGAGTTCGGACTTTTTTCTATATGTAATAAACAAACAACAAACAAATCACCCCTTTCACCATCAGTTGTAGAAATCATCACTCCTTTTCCCATATCCAAGTCCCCCTTGTAAGGCCCACCTGACCCCGTCAAGTCTAGAGTTAAGTTTACCTGGGAGCTCAGCAAGTTTAAATTTAGGCACCCCTCACCTTCCAGGCTCCTCTCACCACCCTGGTTAATGAGTGCCGTCAATTTAAACAGTTTTCAAGGTGACTCACAGTAGGAGAATGTTTGAAATGGCCCCAAATCTCACACCTCTTACACGAAAGGAATTTGATAGAGATTCTGACAGTACCAATAATAAGCTGTAGAGCTCAATGAGGTTTTTATAAACTCTCAACAATGAAAGAAAAAAAAATTGAATTGGCCATACTAGAGAAAGACAGAGAGACAAAGAGAATAGAAAATAATATTATAAAATCATTATCATATGAAGAGGTGGTCAAAGAGTTCGTATCTAAGAAACAGGACATGAAATTATTATAGCGATGTGCTGGCAGCTATTAACTACAAATGTTTCTAGATTTTGTAATATTTATGGTGTTTTATCACCTTAACATTGCAACTGGTTGTGATTTCCCAATCTAGGTAAACATTAACTTTTACACCTAATTTTATATTCATAGTTTTGTTGTTTTCTTAAGGAGGGTTCCCCCAAATTGTAAAAACATCAGGACCGGGCTTCCCTGGTGGCTCAGTAGTTAAGAATCCGCCTGCTGATGCAGGGGACACGGGTTCGAGCCCTGGTCCGGTAAGATCCCACATGCCTCGGAGCAGCTAAGCCTGTGCGCCACAACTACTGAGCCTGTGCTCCAGAGCCCGCGAGGCACAACTCCTGAAGCCCGGGCGCCTAGAGCCTGTGCTCTGCAACAAGAGAAGCCACCGCAATGAGAAGCCCGCGCACTGCAACAAAGACCCAATGCAGCCAAAAATAAATTAATTAAATAAATAAATTAAACAAACAAAAGCATCAGGACCCAAAAAAACCTGAATCCACTGCTCCTATGACCACCACAAACCTTCCTGAACTCATCATATGCAAAGTTGTAATAGACACATGCCTTAATTTATTAGTGATTGTATATTTGCTTGTATGTGGTTCTAAGCTTCATGAAAGCAGGTGCAACATACGTTGTGTTCACTGCTTTAAGTCTCACGCAAGGCTTTCTCATAGTAAATGCTCAATAAATATTTGTGGACTATTTATCCCCTTATTGATTAGTCATTCTTTAATTTACTCAGCAGTAATTTTTTGTGTGTGTATATATATATACATGGTGTTTTTTTTGGCCACGCCGCAAGGCATGTGGGATCTTAGTTCCCTGACCAGGGATCGAACCCATGCCCCTCTGAAGTGGAAGTGCAGAGTCCCAACCACTGGACTGCCCGGGAAGTGCCCCAATAATTACTTTTTGAAGAATTACTATGAACCAGGCCTGGAAATACAAAGTTATCCTCTACCTTCTAAGACTTGACAGCCCAGGGGTAGAAATTGCCATAAAACCTCAACAGAACACAGGAGGCGACGCATTGAGCATAAAGGGTGGCAGGCAGAGGGTCCTATGGGATCACAGAGGAAGCACACGAATCCAGCCTGCAGGTTCAAGGTGAGCTTTCTGGAGAAGATGATGCTATCCGAATGAGTCCTGGAGGAGACTGGTGGGAAAGGTTGCTTTCAAGGCAGAAGGAACAGCAAGTACAAAAGCATGGATGTGGTGAGATTGTCCTCAAGCTGCCAGCGTTCACATCGCCAAGGTGTGGGGTGCAGGGATAGTGACGATGGGTGAGCTGGAGACCTGAAACCGAAGGGTTTTTGGCAAAGAAGCAACATCGTCAGATTTGTTCCCACTTGTACAACTTTGGAGAATAGATTGAAAGTGATCAAGGTTGAAGGCAGAGAAACCAAATGCAGTTCTCCAAATGACAGTGAGGACTTGAACTGACATGGATGAGTGTGGTGGGGGGAGGGGGGAGGATTCAAAAGACGCCAAGGAGCTAGAGTGGGCAGGACCTGGAGCCTGGCTGGGACGGTGAGGGACTGGGCAGCTTGGTGGGAGCTAGTGAAACGGGCCGGAAGATGATGGGCATGTTGCGTTTCAGATCCCTGTGCACCATCCAGGCGGGGCCAGAAGTGAGCTAGATCTGAGCTCAATGGGTCTGCAGCTCAGAGACAGGTTTTTGGCTGGAGATACCAGTTTGGGAGTTATTGGCGTATGATGGCGATGGAAACTGCGGGGAGTGGGAATGGGGGTGTGGGGGAGGCTGTAGAGATTGGGAAGACTGAGGAAAGCTTTACTACTTCACCTTTTTTTTTTCCTAAACAAGCATTATCGAATTTAAATCATCATAGGAACCCCGTAAGCGGATGGGCGTTATCATGATATCCACTTTAAAAATGAGACAGGCTCGGAAGGTTAAGTGACCTGTGCAAGGCACTCAGCTAGTAGCCAGCAGGTGGGCCTGACGCCGCACTCAGCATACAGGACAGCCTTCCAGCCCCACCTCCAAGGACCTGTAGGACACACGTGTCCTTTTCCTCCTTCCTCGCTCACCCAGGCCAGGCCGGGCACTTCCCTCCCTCAGCCTTGGACCCTTTCTCTTGTGGAGCCCCTACTTCCCACTAGACATTAAAGGGGTGTGATTTGGCCCCTAACAGTTACCAGAGCCTGGCTCAGCCAGCCCCCAATCTTGGTGATGGGGAAGAGGAAGGACCCTGAGCACTGATGGAGTGGCAGAGGACCGAAACTGCCAAGACTGGGAGAAAGCATCAGTGCGAGCTGATAAGAAGGAGGGCGGGGGAAGGGCAGAGCTCACCACAGAGGCCAAGGCTACCAGAAGGCAAGGAGGTAGAGAGAACGGAGGCAAGGGGGCTGGGGACCAGAGCTTAAAGGGAGGGCTGGGGGTGGGTAGTGCGGGAGGGAGATGGGGGGAGAGGTAATGGGAGGCTCATTGTCCCAGCAGGGGGAAGTCTTTTGTTTCCTCTCTTCCCTTGGCAGCCTGACAGGATATGAGGCCAAGCCCCCCCCCTCCATGCCAGCATCCCCCCCACCCACTGGACAGGGCCCTTCCCTTACCATTGTATCCTTGACAGGGATGGGGGCAGGGGCAATGGCTCTAGGCGGGAATATAAGGACTATTCGTGGCTGGGGGCTAGGCTACCGAGGTCCCGATGGGACCAGAAGCCCCCGGGCTAGTTCGTGGAGCTTGGCAGGGAAAGCTTCGTGCCTGGGGAGGAGCAGGAAGCCAGGCCAGGGTGGGGCCTGCACCGAGGGTAGCAGGTCGGGCCAGGGGGCGGTAGGCTGGGCCCAGAGGAGATGACGCAGCCCTTCAGGCCTCTCCCAGCCCCCACCATTCCAGCGTGGGGGCCTGAGAGCTCACCTGAAATCCAGTGTTGACCCCCCCCCCCCCCCAACCAGGGCGGTTGGGAGCTGGTAGAGCCCAGCGAACTCCGGGGTCCGGCCTGGGCCCTCCACCGCCGCTTTCCTGTACTCCCTCCCTCCCTCCCCAGGATCCAGGAGTCTGGCCTCCCGCTGCGGTCCTCCAGGAACCCTGGAATTTCATCCATCCCCTCCTCTCCCTCCTGGGTCATTTTGCTCCATCAGCTGTTCCTGCAGGAAGGGCGCCCTGCTCAGCCTCGCCTCTCTTCCCGAGCCTTTTGTTTGCTGGGTCTGCAGGAAACTGTAGGGGCGGTGGCCAAGGGCTCATCTGCCCCTGGGGCCTGGGGGAGGGGGGGGTCCGGATTCACGAGACTTAATCCTGGGGAGCTCACGGCGGGGATAGGGAGGCTCGATCGCCGGGGAATTGGCATTTAGGGCCTGAACTCGGAGTTGGGGCACCCGGGGGCGGGGATTGGACGTCCTATCTCCGAGGGGCGGTCCGGGTGTGTGTTCGGGGATTCCTAGAACTGGAGGCTGGAGGGACACCCCGAGGTGACCTAATAAGTGGGAGCCAACACGAGGGGAGAAAAATCTAGATACTGAATCCCACAACCTCGTCCTACACGCCTCGAATCCCGAGAATCCCAAGCGGTGGGGAGACGGTAGGCAGGTCAGCCCAGACAGTTTCTGAGGATTAGCTAATTCCTTTTTCTTTTAAAAATGGTGGGGAGGAGGACCAGCACTTCGCCTAAGAATTCACGCTTTCCCAGGACGCGCCCGCAGACTAGGCGGCGGCGCGGACGCTCTAGCAAGCTGGCGCCCTCTCTTTGGTTGCCCTCTCTCTGAGGCTACCCTGGGCGCCGCCATATTCCCTTCACAGTGGGCGGGGCGGGGCCAATGCAGTCACGTGAGGAGCAAGCCCTCAGGTCCGCGATGGTTCCCAGAACCGTCAGGGAATGGTTCCTGAGGTCCCCTCGAGTGCCAGGGGCTGTTAGAAGTACCGGAGCTAGAGCAGCGAAGAAAAGATAAGTTCCTGTTTCGTGGAGCTTAATTTTCTGTTGGGAATAGACAGTCAATGAACAAGATATACAAGTAAACGACATGTATTAGTGTTAAGAGCTATGGAGAAAAAAAAATAGGAAAGTGGGATGGGAAGGAAGGTGTAGTTCAATATTTAAATGGGACTGGCAGAGAAGATTTCACTAAGAAGATAATATTTGAGTTCAGAAGACAAAGGGGGCTCATGCCCTGTGTGCCCACAGGGCGTTCTTGGACACAGCCCAGAGGTCGTTGTGGGGTAAGATCAGGAGATGAGCAGAGGTGAGGGCAGGATGCAGATCGGGTAGGGCTTCATGCGTAGGGTGCCCATGTAATATGTAGACCGCTCTGGGTCACTTCTGAGCGAAGGATATGCTGTTAATACTTATGCTAAGGCAGCAGGCATAACCTGGTAGCTGGACTGTAGTCGGTGAATCAGAAGGTAAGTATGGTTACCTTAAGGGACTTTGATTTTTACTCTGAGGAAAATGGGAAACCACTGGACAGTTTTGAAAAGGGAAGTGTCATGAATGGATACTTCCTTTAATAGCATCACTCTAATCTGTTGAGAATAGAATGTAGGGGCCAGAACAGAAGCAGACACACCAGTTAGGGGGCCACCAGTCAGGGAGCTGTTGCAATAATGCAGGCAAGAGATGATGGTGACTTGGACTAGGGTGGTAAATTGGGGTTGGATACTGGTTGTATTTTAAAAGTAGAGGCCAAAAAAAAAAAAAAAAGTAGAGGTCAAAGGAATTGCTGATGGGTTGGATGTGGGGTGTAAGAGAGAGTTTTCAAGCACAACCCCAAGGTTTTTGACCTAAGCACCTGGGCAAGTGGGACAAGCACAAGAGGCGTAGGTTGTGGGGGTATGTTCAGGCGTTGGATTTTGGATATGCCAAGTTTGAGTTGCCCGTTTGATGTGCGAGCAGAGATGTTAGTATGTTCTTGGAAGTCTGAAGTTCAGAGTAGAGATCTGGGCTGTAGATACACCCTTAAGGCACTGTTATAGAGATGGTATTTAAAACTAGAGGATTGGATGCGATCACCAAGGGAGTGGGTGTAAGTGGTGAAAAGATGTCTGTGGACTGAGCTTCCAGTGCTCAGTGGAGCCTCCAGTCCACAGTGGCCTCTTGGCTGTTCCTCTAACACCTAGGAGTGCTCCAGAGTTGAGACAAGAGATGAGGAAGAACCAGCAAAGGAGACTGAACGGGAGGATAGTTGCATTTACCAGGGCTGTGATTTTGCCAGGAGGTGTAATAAAGTGAGAGAGGGGCAAGGGAGTGCTTTTCAGTGACCGTGAACTTTAAGCTGGGGAAGAAGGGAAGTGAGTGGGGGACAGTGGGCAGAGGGCAGGATCGATGGATTGAGGCACCAGTGAGGTGGAGGAGTGTTCAGGTCAGGGCATGACAAAGACCCTCCCCTTGACCAAACTTCAGTCAGTTTCCTCTGAACCTTCTTCTGGACTAGGCTTCGACCTTAGCCCCCATCCTTGCTGGGCCTTCCTAGCTCAGTTTAAAGAGAACCCACCCACCCTTCATATCTGATCACCCTGGCCTGCCTTCAGCAAGGATCCTGTTAAGTCCCTTTAGCTAGAATCCCCCAATGCTTGGTGCTTCCTCCTAGTAATTTTACATTCACTGACCCCCTCATTCTGCCTGTGGGCTCTAAATCCCCAGCTGTTTTTGCTGTATTTGGAGTTGAGCCCGTTCTCTCTCCCCTACTGTGAGTCTTGACACCTATTTCAATAGCTCTGAATAAAGTCTTCTTTACTGTTTTAGCAAGTGTCAGATTATTTTTTTTCCTCAACAGGCATAACTAGAAGTGGTGAATGAAAATAGGAGAGGGTACGTTACTGGTAATGACAAAGTCTAGGCATCACCATTGGGTGGGATGGAGGGTGAGATCTATGCAGAAGTGGAGTTTAAGCACCTGCCAGCCCAGGGTGTTGGAAGCCTCATCCATGTGGATGTTGAAATCACCAAAAATTGTGACAGGAGGGATGTTGGAGAGACCCAGGAGCCAAGCTCCGTGTTGTGGGTAGCAGAGATGACCACTGAAAATGCCAGTTTAACTGCTCATGAGACCTCTTCCTGGCAAAGCCACATTTGTGCTGCTTTGAGCCCCTTCCTCTCCTAGGGAAAGTTTGCAGATAATTTACAGCCAAAGGCCAGTGGCAGGAAAAGCGGTGTTCATTTCCTGAGGCTCAAATGACAGTGTAACCATGAAGGACTCTATAAAGTTAGGAAATTATTACTGAAGTTCTCCAAGCTTCAATTTGCTAATGTGAAAAATGGAAATCATAGCGGGATCTACCTCACAAAGTGGTTATGCCTATTTCATGTAGTACCGTATGCAAATAAGTTGTTGAACATTTCGGTATTGTTCTCAAGTGCCTATTAGTTTATTGAAAACTCACAGCAACCTTAACCGGGAGGGTCTAGTTAATCCCCATTTTACAGATGAGGAAACGTTGCCAGGTGGTGCCGACGTTGATGGCACCTGTAGAGTGAGGAGTGGGTCCTAACTCTCAGAGGTTCAAAAGTCTGGAGGGGACAACGTTGCGGGGAGGCGCGAAAGCGGGCGGGGGACCAGTCCGACCTACGGCAGCTTGCGCCTCCCGGGCTCGCCCGGATCGGCGGCCAATGGCTCCCTCTGGTGGCGGAAGAGAGGAGAGCAGCCAGTGGGCTGGACAGGGCGCGAGGGGAGGGCGCCGCAGGGGCGAGGGCTGAGGCCAGGACCTGGTGGGCTTTGCAAGGATCCGAGAGGCTGGAGGAGTAGGGCCCCGCGTTCCGGGTGGCGCACCTGGGCCAGGTGTTGTGGCCCCGCCCACCTGCCGGAGGCCTTCCGCCGTCACGACACGCCCCTTTCAGCAGTGTCTCCTCCGGACGCCTCCGAGCTCCGAGTGGGGTCCCGCCCGCGCGGCGGGGGCCTGTTTGCACCAGGGTGATAGGCGCAGTGGGAGCCGTGGCCCACACCCTGCCGGAGACGCTCGTCCGAGTGGCGACCCCGAGCAGCACCCGGGTCGCACGTGGGGCGGGAGCCTCGCAGGCAGCAAGAGCTGGGTGGGGCGGGGCTTCCCCGGGCTCGCCCACGGGGCGGGGCCGAGCCCGGGGACCAATGGGGCCCTTGTGTGCTGGGGGTGGGTCAGGCTCGAGGCCTGGCATCCCGGTAGCCACAGCTGTCTTTCCGGCACCCTTGCCCCCTCCGCCAGTAGCGGACCCTCCGGCTCTCGGGGATCACTCCTGAGCGGCTGCATCCTCCGGTGGGTAAGTGAACGCCCTGCCACACCCGGGCGGTGAGGGTGCGCCTGGCCGGGGAGGAGCGAATCTCGGCCCCCTCCAACCCGCCCCGGGAGAAAGTGGGCAGGAACCGGTGCGGGGAGGAGGACCACCTTGTGTCGCCGGACGGTGTTTTTGTTTTGGTCGTCGAGGAGTTGTTGGGGCGGTGGAGTTTGGGGGACGCCTGTGTGGGTGGGAGGAATCTGGTGAGATTAAGGAAAGAGGAGGCTGTTTGAGATGGGTTGAGGGAGAGTGTTGATGGAGGGTGGGGCTTTGGAAGATTCGGAAGTTTCTTATCGCCCGGGGATGAGGTGATTGCATGGAGGATCTTGGGGGGCGGCTCAGGACTCCGGAGGATGGGGTGAGGAGGGCCTCCTGCCCATCACTCACTTCCCTTCTGGAGGATTTGCTTCCTCTTGCGCTGCTAGTTAAGAAGGCGGAGGATCTTTGCACCTTTCCAGAGCCACTGCCATCCCTAGTCTCAGGGATACGGGGGAAGGGGTGGCCTCAGGAGCTGGGAGGGGCCATGGTACCCACTGCTGAGGCTTAAGAGTCTGCCATTGTTGCGGCAGTGGCCGGGACCAGTCTGCCCTCCACTAACTCTTTGAGTTGTTGGTGAACGTGAGTGTGTCTGTGTGTGTGTTTCCTTTTTGGGGAAGCTTCTGGGTGTTTGGTTAGAGGTGTTTTGTGGGGGGCTCCACGGAGCTGCCTTCCACTCAGCAAACTCTTTGCAGGCTTCATAACCCATTGGCGGCTTCCTCTGCCCGCTGTCGACCATGGCCAATGAGAACTCTCCTCTGCTGGCCTACCGGCTCCTGGGGGAGGAGGGGGTTTCCTTCCCTGCCAGTGGAGCCGGGGGTCCTGGAGGGGCGCCTGCCCGGAAGCTCTCCACCTTCCTGGGTGTGGTGGTACCCACGGTCCTGTCCATGTTCAGTATAGTTGTCTTCTTGAGGATTGGTGAGTGGCAGGGGTTTACTTGGGGGTGCAGTGGGGTGGGACTGGGATGAGGTTGGGGAAGGGCCCTGGGAGACGCGGGTGGATGAAGGGCTTGGGGTGGGGTGGGGGGTGCGATGGGTGAGCTGCCGTCTCACCTGCTTTGCCACTCCTGTCGCAGGGTTCGTGGTGGGCCACGCTGGACTGCTGCAGGCTTTGGCCATGCTCCTGGTTGCCTACCTCATCCTGGCACTCACTGTCCTCTCCGTCTGTGCCATCGCTACCAATGGAGCTGTGCGAGGGGGCGGAGCCTACTGTATCCTCCAACCTCGGTGGACAGGGGTCTGGGCTCTTCTGTCTTATAGGGGGTAGGAGAGGTCCCCTCCCTGCATCCCCTGGGGGGTAGGACAAGAGGGGACAAGTTCTAATGAATGTCCAGCAGACAGGTTGGTATGGGGAAGGGGGCAAACACGACCTGACTCGGTAGTGCTACATTCCAGTTCACCAGGTGTCTTCCCAGCTGCCATTTTGGTTCTACTTGACCGTCCTGTCAGTTAGGTAGTATTCATCTTATGGACGAGGACATTCAAGAGCGTTAGTGACTTGGGCAAAGCCACGTAGCTTGGAAGTGGCTGCAGTGGGACGCACTGCCTCTGGGCACAGTCCCGTGTGTTCAGGGAGAGGAGGCCTGGAGGGCCAGCTGTATGGTGCTTCGTGCCGGGCCCTTCCTCACGCTCCAGTTCACTTTCTTTTCCCTTAACGCTCACCCCCTGCTTCCACTTTCAGTCATGATCAGTCGCACCCTGGGGCCTGAGGTCGGGGGCAGCATCGGCCTCATGTTCTACCTGGCTAACATCTGTGGCTGTGCTGTCTCCCTGCTGGGGCTGGTGGAGGCCATGCTTGATGTCTTCGGGGCTGGTCTGTGCTCCCCACGCTGGTCTGGGCAGCTCTGAGGATTTGCCGGGTCTGGGATTCTGGGATCATGGCAGGGAGAGAAGCCCTCTCCAGGAGAGATGCTCAACTTTCTTGAGCTCCTGCTCTGTTGCCCAGCCTCGTGCAGACATCCAGACATCCGAGAGAATGTCCTGGCCTGTGAGGAGCTTCCCGTCTAGTCAGGGAGGCCAGATTAACACTCCTAAAATTGACAGAGCAAGATTGGTGGTACCCACCAGGCAGAGCTAGGATGCTGGGGTACAGTTGGGCGGGGGAGTGGGAAAGATGGCCTCTCTGAGGACTGGTGGGCCAAAGATGGGGTCCCTTCCTGCTCTGAGTCATGGTTGGGGTCCCTCCTTGGGGGTCTGGCTTTCTAACTCTGTTCCTTCCTCTCTACAGATGCCACGGGGTCCAGCGGGCTCCGCACCCTACCGCAGGGCTACGGCTGGAACCTGCTCTACGGCTCCTTGCTGCTGGGCCTGGTGGGCGGGGTCTGCACCCTGGGGGCCGGCCTCTATGCCCGCGCCTCCTTCCTCACATTCCTGCTGGTCTCTGGTTCCCTGGCCTCTGTGCTGGTCAGCTTTGTGGCTGTGAGGCCCAGGGACATCCCCTTGACCCCTAGGCCTGGCCCCAACGGCTCCTCCCTGCCGCCCCAGGTTGGCCACTTCACCGGCTTCAACAGCAGCACCCTGAAGGCCAATCTGGGCGGTGAGCTGGGTGCAGGAGCCCTGGGGGTCTCGGGGCGAGGGGCGGGGCGTGTGTGTGTGGGCGGGGCTTGGAATCCCTGGATGGGCGGTGAGCTGGGTGCAGGAGCCCTGGGGTTCTCAGGGCGAGGGGCGGGGGTGTGTGTGTGTGTGTGTGTGTGTGTGTGTGTATGTGTGTGTGTGTGCGTGTGTGTGTGGCTTGGAATCCCTGGATGAGAAGAGATGTCAGAGAAAATCAAGGGCGGGAGGTCTGGACCTGGAGCAGTACAGGTTGATTAAGATCTGTTGGGCGTGTATTGGCCGCTGTCTGTTTGACCCAGCTGGGCACGAGAGTGACCACGAGACAGTCCCTACCTTAGAGGAACTTGTTTAGTTGGAGAGATAAGATGTACATTCAGGAAACAAACTGCATAATAGGACCGAGTGTAATTCAAGTAGACAAGAAGCACAGAGGAGTCCAGAGGAGGGAGACCTGGGTTTGGGCCGGGGAGGGCGCGGGCCGGTGGAGCTAGAGGTGGCGTGAGCGGGGTTGGGAAATTCAGACAGGAGGTGGAGGGAAGGCGTCTGAGGAAAGAGCGTGGATGAAGGCCTGGAGGGAGGAACGGAGAAGTGTGGGGAGAAGGAGGTGATGAGGTCAGCTGAGCCAGGGCCAGAGACGGGTCAGGGCTGGGGTCTCGGTGAGCTGGTGAGGCTGGTGGAGAGGCAGTGGGGGCAGGTTTAGAACGTGAGGAGAGGGTAGCAGGGCCAAAACGCCCGGATCCCTAGGACGGATGCTGATCCCCTCTCCTCCCTGGGAACGATTCCCCTCTCCTCAGCTGGCTACGCCAAGGACTACACCACGGGGGCCACGATGACCTTTGCTAGCGTCTTTGCCGTCCTTTTTAACGGCTGCACAGGCATCATGGCTGGGGCCAACATGTCAGGTGAGAGTCCTTGGGGCAGGGGGCTGCCTTGCCACCTTGTGCCCCTACAGGGCACTGAGGCTTCAGGGATACAGGGCGTGGTGGAGGGTTGACCTCCCTCCCTCTGCTCCCTGCCCTCCAGGGGAGCTGAAGGATCCCAGCCGGGCCATTCCTCTGGGCACGATTGTTGCCGTTGCCTATACTTTCTTCATCTACATCCTGCTTTTCTTCCTCTCCAGCTTCACCTGCGACAGGTGCCTGGGGAGGGGGTGAGCCTGGTCCTTGAGGGGGTGGATGGAGGCATTGTCACACCTGGATCGCCCAGGGAAGCACGGGCCAGGGCGGGGTGGGGGCAGATACCCAAGCTGTTGGGCGGTGTGGAGAAAATGGGGCCTGTTCCTCCCACTGGGAGAGAGTTAGAGCTGCTGCCCTGGATGTGGAGGGCTGGCTACATGGTAACAGCCAACCGGAAGCCAGCATTTGCTTTGTGCCTGGTACTATTGTAAGTACTTGGCTTGGGGGTGGGGTGGGGAAGAGCTTTCTAGTCAACTTGTATTTCCATAAATATTTGGCTTCTTGTGCACGTACTGTTGGGAATGTCCACCCTGTGATTAAATCCAAAGCGGCCCAACGACAACCAGTGAATGCCAAGTCTAACCCCTGGGCACACTTGATCTGTTAATACGGTCCTTGAGATCGGGGCTGGGGTCAGCTCAGAATACCCAGTGCTTAACCTCAGCCAGTGTTGTGAGAACTGTTCTCACCAGGCCCCTAGGATGGAGGCACGTTTATTATCTGCATCCTCCTCCTTTCCTTCCCTGTAGGATCCTGCTGCAGGAGGACTACGGGTTCTTCCAAGCCATCAGCCTGTGGCCCCCGCTGGTGCTGACCGGTATCTATGCCACGTCGCTCTCAGCCTCCATGAGCTCCCTCATCGGCGCCTCCCGCATCCTCCACGCCCTGGCCCAGGACAACCTCTTTGGTGCGCTGTCCCCTGCCTCGTGCCCGGCTCTGAGCGCACCCTCCCGTGTCTGTCTTGGTCCCCCCCTTGGCCCAGGCTGATGTGTCTGCTGCATTTCCGTTTGCACAGGAGTGATTCTGGCGCCAGCTAAGGTTATATCTCAAGGGGGGAACCCCTGGGGAGCCGTGCTGTATTCTTGGGGCCTAGTGCAGGTAAGCTTTCCTCTTCAAGCTACCCTCACCCTCACCGTAAGCCCCCCCCGCCCCGTTACAGTCGCGGGACCAGGAAGGGTCAGACGCGCACTGGGAGACGTGCCTGAAAAGGCAGTATGTGTTGGCGTTTGATGGGGAGCGGGGCGCGTGGATGAACGCCCAGCCTCTTGGTCCTTGTCCAGCTGGTGCTCCTGGCTGGGAAGCTGAACACGCTGGCCGCTGTGGTCACTGTCTTCTACTTGGTGGCCTATGCTGCCGTGGACCTGTCCTGCCTGAGCCTCGAGTGGGCCTCGGCCCCCAACTTCCGGTGAGCGAAGGAGATGCCTGTGTCCCCAGAGAAAGGGAGGGAGGAACGGGGAGGCCTGGGACCAGGCGGGCGGAGGCTGGGGATGGAGTGGGGCGGCTCGCCGTCGGGGCAGCCCCGAGCCTCCTTCCTTCCGTGTCGGCCCCCAGCCCCACCTTCAGCCTCTTCTCCTGGCACACGTGCTTGCTGGGGGTGGCCTCCTGCCTGCTCATGATGTTCCTCATCAGCCCCGGGGCCGCTGGCGGCTCCCTGCTTCTCATGGGCCTGCTTTCTGCCCTGCTCACGGCTCGAGGAGGCCCCAGCAGCTGGGGTTACGTCAGCCAGGCCCTGCTTTTCCATCAGGTGGGGGGAGCGGGGAGAGGGGGGAGGGGAGGGGGAGGGGAGGGGGGAGGGGAGGGGGGCTGGGACGGGAACGCCCGGAGGAGGCCTCCTCTTCCCCCGGCTGCCTGCCGCTGGTTCCGGCCCAGGTGGTGAATGGGCGCCGCGCCCCGGAGCCCTTCCTCCTGTCACCTCACCTGGTCCCCAGGTGCGGAAGTACCTGCTCCGGCTGGACGTCCGGAAGGACCACGTGAAGTTCTGGCGGCCTCAGCTGCTGCTGCTGGTGGGGAACCCCCGGGGCGCGCTGCCTCTGCTGCGGTTGGCCAACCAGCTCAAGAAAGGGGGCCTCTATGTGCTGGGCCATGTCACCCTGGGAGACCTCGGTCAGTTGCCCTCCACTCACCCCTCCGCCCTGACCTCTCTCTCCCTCCCCTTCCTGGAAGCTCTTTGTGTTCTTTGTGCCCCAGAAGTCTCGTGCTTCTTCCCAGATGACCCTCCCTACCAGCCATACCCCTGCCCAGACCTTTCTTTTCTGCCCACGTGGACTTGGACTCTAGGAGAAAGTACGTGAATCTGGCCCACATGGGCTGCCTGCCTCCTCCGCAGACTCCCTGCCCTCGGACCCCGTGCAGCCGCAGTACGGGGCGTGGCTGAGCCTGGTGGACCGGGCCCAAGTGAAGGCCTTCGTGGACCTCACCCTCTCGCCCTCCGTGCGCCAGGGGGCTCAGCACCTGCTGCGGATCTCAGGTCTTGGTGAGTTGCTCCACTCCGTGGCCCCTCTCAATCTCTGCTCCCCTCCCCCAGAGAGTCAACCACAGACTGCAAACTCCAAAAGGAACCCACAATCTAGTGCAGACAGGACTCGGTTCTCAAAGATAAAAGTGTGTGAAAGGTCTCCGAGGTGATGCCTTAAGGACTAGAGATGGAGCGACACCGTTTGTTTGTTTTCTTTCTGACCCATGCTTGGGGCACAGGCTCTGCAGAACACGTCGTCTTTCAGGGGGCAGTGGGAGAAGTATTTGAGGTGGGGCTGCCCCATCAGATCTAGGGTAGATGCTTTCTAACCACCAGAGTTCAGAGAGAGGAAGACCACTGTCACCAATGTGGCCGGCAGAGGTTTTGTGATGAGATGGTATCTCAGCTGGGCCTTGCGAGCAGCAGAGAAGTAGGGGGCCGTGTAATGTGGCTCCCAGAGACTACGAAGGATGCCAGGGGTGTGTGGGTCTGACGCTGTCGCATGGAGCGGAACAGTCGCAGCTCCGTGACTGTGTCTTTGTGCCAAGGCCTCCGGCCCAGCTCACCAGCTTCCTCCAGATCCCTGCTCAGCGCCTCCATCTTTCTCAACCCCGGGACTGGCGTCTGTGCCGTCTCTGAACGCATGCTTCCTGCTCCACTTACAATCTGGCTAAAGTTCAAGTGTTGGACATTGCCCTGGTCGGTGTCAATCAGAACCCCGGGAAATGCTCAGGAGGAGGTGTGACTAGTTTAATTTGCAAGATCAGTTGGAGTTCCCACCTGCCAAGGTGTTTTAGGGGTGTTATCAAGCGTTGTCAGCTAGAACCTGGAGCGTCTGAGGGCTCGTCTCTCCTCAGCCCCACCTTTTGTTGGGGAGAGACCCTTGGTCTCTGGACCAAGAGACCACTCCTTTCACGCAATTCATCCTGCAGAAAATGATTCAAATGAAAAGGAAAAGGTTTCCTTTAAGTGGTTAATCCCCCAGCATGGAGAATTTGATATACTGGCAGATTTTGAGTATACCTTTTGTCCCGTGAGAAGGGGTCTTGGAGGAGGTCTGAGTCTTCCTGTAAACTCAGCCCTGGTACAGGGGAAATTATCCGATTCCGTATTCGTTGTTCAGATACTAAAACCCAGGAGCTGTCAGCAGGGACTGGGGACTTTGTGGTTGGTGCAACACCAGCTTAGTGGCTCAGAGAATGGGCTCTGGTGCTGGGTACATCGTGTTCACTTGCTGGCCCCAGTGTCTATCAGCCATGAGCCTTGGGGCAAGTGACTTCACCTCTCTGGGTCTCAGGTTCCTTATCTGTAAAGCGGGGTGAGTAATAGTCCCTACCTCATACTGTTGCTTCAAGGATCAGATGAGTTAAAACACCAAGTGCTTTCAGCAGGCTGGGGGCTCCAGTCAGCGTGCAGATGGTGGCTCACAGGGGACAGTGCTTTGGACACGCTGTCGTTAGGGCTTTGCAGTCATAGAAACAGATTGTGCAGCCCCAGCCCTGAGTTCTCATCCTCCCCTAGCAGGGTCTGAGCGCTGTTTCCCTGGGGATTGAGGCCAGGAGCTTGACTCATCAGGGGGTCCCGTCTGCCAGTGGAGTCAGACTTGTATCTCCTATCATGAAAAAGGTGTTGAAGGCCAGAGTGAATACATCCTACTGCCCCTGAACGGAAGTGCTTCTTAGTTACAAGACTCCTAAGGCGAACTTTGCCTATTTAAATGGGAGAGATTAGTCATGGAGATAAATCAAATAAATGCATGTGAAAGTGTTTGGGAAAACTAAAAGTCGTTATGCAAATGTGCATTATGTTGCCGTGAGAGGCCGAGCATAACGCGCATGTCACACCTGATGGCTGACACACGCTGCTGTCAGCGGATGGGAGTGGACACCTATTAGCATAGTGGGAACTCAGCCGTGAGTCTGACTCTTGTGGGTTCCTTCCTGCCTACCCCAGGTGGCATGAAGCCCAACACGCTGGTCCTGGGTTTCTACGACGATGCTGCACCCCAGGACCACTTCCTGACGGACCCAGCTTTCTCTGAGCCTGCGGATGGCATCCAGGAGGGCGGGTCCCCAGCCCTGAGCACCCTGTTCCCTCCACCCCGGGCTCCAGGAAGCCCCCGGGCTCTCAGTCCCCAGGACTACGTGGCTACAGTGGCAGACGCCCTGAAGATGAACAAGAATGTGGTTCTGGCCCGGGCCTGTGGAGCCCTGCCCCCCGAGCGGCTAAGCCGGGGATCTGGGGGCACCTCTCAGCTGCATCACGTGGACGTGTGGCCCCTGAACCTGCTGCGGCCCCGGGGCGGGCCTGGCTACGTGGACGTCTGCGGCCTCTTCCTGCTGCAGATGGCAACCATCTTGGGCATGGTGCCTGCTTGGCACAGTGCCCGCCTGCGGATCTTCTTGTGCCTGGGGCCTCGCGAGGCGCCAGGGGCAGCCGAGGGGCGGCTGCGGGCACTGCTGAGCCAGCTGAGGATCCGGGCCCAGGTGCAGGAGGTGGTGTGGGGCGAGGGGTCTGCGTCGTCCCAGGAGCCTGAGGAGGAGGAGGAAGGGGACTTCGTGAACGGCAGGCGGGGAGACGCCGAGGCAGAGGCCCTGGCATGTAGTGCCAACACCCTGGTTCGGGCCCAGCAGGGGCGTGGCGGAGGAGGGGGGCCTGGTGGCCCTGAGGGTGGGGATGGCGAGGAGGGGCCCGCCACCGCCCTGACCTTCCTGTACCTGCCCCGGCCACCTGCTGACCCTGCTCGCTATCCTCGCTACCTGGCGCTGCTGGAAGTTCTGAGCCGCGATCTGGGCCCCACGCTGCTCATTCATGGCGTCACCCCTGTCACTTGCACTGATCTCTGATGCCCGTTCCAAGTAGAGAGTGTCTAGGTAATCGTAATCGGGTGGCCCACCTTGATTATGGGGTGAGGAGGGGAAGGGCCGCCTTCCACCCGCCTGGCACGTGGGACTTGGACCCTGGTGGAGGTATTAGGGGATCCTGGTCTCTGTCATCTCTTGGTCTCTAGGAGAGGGGCCCCGGTGCACTAACTAACGCAGGGCAGCTGTCCCCGCCACCACAGGGGAGGGCTCCCTCCCCCACTGCACTCCCTCCCTTCAGCCGTGCCTTGACGGGGTCTGGGTCTCCGCTTGTGACTCCAGGCTACCTCAGTCTCCCCACCTCGCCCAACAGACTCCCCGACCACTGGGGTTTTGATGTTTTTGTTCTGTTTTATTTTTCTAACTGCCGAACGTGAATAAAAGATCAAAACACTACGCGTTGGCCGGGCGTTTCTGGAGGGGGCGGGTAGCTGGGACGGAAAGAGGGAGAAATCTGTATGGGGGATGGGGAAAGAGGGGCGCTGGAGCGTCCCAGCGGCGAGGGGGCCACGTGCGGGACCCGGGGCTCCGGGCCTGGGGGAAGCTGGTGGAGATGGAGGCTGCCCGCAGCCCCCAGACTCAGGCTCCCGAGGAAAGCCCTCCCTGCTCGCAGGAGGGGGCCCGACTCGGGGAGGGACGGCAGTTTAGGGCCTAGGGGGCCACGTGACCCTCCCCCAGGAATGCGGTGACGTCACCGGGGGCGTGGCCGTACCCAAAATTAGGGAGGAAGGGGAAAAAAGAAGCCAGAAAAAGTTTCTTTCCTGGAGTCCCAAGCGAGGTGTGGGACAGAAGAAGGGATCAAAGTCGGAGGCCCGGGGCTCCGTGGGGCCCTGACCGCTGTCTGGGGTCCCCCTTTCCAGGCCATGTCCGGGCCCACCTGGCTCACTCCGAAGCAGCCGGAGCCTGCCAGAGCCCCTCAGGGGAGAGGGCTCCCCCGAGGCGCCTCGGGGCCGCCGGCGGCCCACGGAGCAGGTAAGGCAGCCCAGTGCGGCCGAGGAGGCCACCGGGCCACCAGCGCTCACCTCTGTCCTGTGGCTGCTGCCTCCCGCTGAGCCCGCCACTGCCGCCCCTTCCCAAGCCCGGCTGGACCTCGCCGCCCCTGCCCCCTCGCGGCCCTCCCTGCCTCCTGCCCCGTCCGCGGACCCCAGGTGCGGGGGTGGGGGCGTGGGGGAGGGGAGAAGAGGGACCCAAGACGGCGGCGTCCACAAGTGTCACCCTCTCCTTCCCCAACCCCACCTTCACTCTCTCTTCCCTCAACCCAGCACTCCAGCCCCACCCCAGGGTCAATTTTTGCCCCCTCCCATCTGAGCAGTGTTACCAGGCCCCTGGGGGACCGGAGGATCGGGGGCTGGCCTGGGTGGGGTGCCATGGAGCAACCCAGCGCTCGCAGGTGAGCACGGGGATTGGGGGGTGGGGGGGCTTAGGGCAGGAGAGGAGACCGTGTGATTTGCTTTCTCCCTGCTTTTGCTCCATCCCCAGGGGCTCCCCGCAGACAGGGGGGGGCTTGCGCCCAGGAAGTCTGGATGCTGAGATAGATTCCCTGACCAGCATGCTGGCTGAGTTGGACGGGGGTCGAGGTCACGCCCCAAGGCGGCCTGACCGGCAGGTGACTCCCCTGTCCTGCCCCTGTCCCTTCCGGTCCTTGTCCCGTGCCCCTCCCCCTCCCCTCCCAAGCCTGGTCCCTACTCTGAACTCTCACCCGCTCTCCCCCTCTGTGTGAGTGATGCCCACACCAGCGTGGAGGAAGCTGGGTCACCAAGACTCACTAGGTTGTCAACCACTTGAGGGAGGCCCCTTGTCAAAACCAGTGCTTGCCTGGGTGCCACATGGGGTAGGGGGTGCTACAGATGTGTGTCCTAGAATGGGCCCAGCTCACTCCTTCTGGTCTGCATTTCTCCCCAGGCTTACGAGCCCCCTCAGCCCCCTGCCTACCGCTCAGGCTCAGGCTCCCTGAAGCCGAATGGAGGGGGTGTTCCTCCCCCGCCGCTCCCAGCATCCCCCTATGGAGGCCCCACTCCAGCCTCCTATGCTACGGCCAGCACCCCCGCCGGCCCTGCCTTCCCTGTGCAAGTGAAGGTGGCACAACCAGTGAGGGGCTGTGGCCCCCCCAGGCGGGGGGCCTCTCAGGCCTCTGGGCCCCTCCCGGGGCCCCACTTTCCTCTCCCAGGCCGAGGTGAAGTCTGGGGGGCCGGCTATAGGAGCCACCGCGAGCCGGGGCCGGGGGGCAAAGAAGAGGCTGCTGGGGTCTCCAGCTCTGCCGGAGGAAGAGGAGGCGGGTACGGGTCCCAGGTAAGCCCCTGGGCACTGGGATTTGGGGTCCTCAAAGACAACTGGACGCTGACCAGGTGGGGTGTGGGTGGGATTTCATGTCCCGGTTGTCAGAGGTCTGCGGCGCTGGAGCTCTGGATCCTCTGCGGGTGGGGGCAGGTCAGGAAATAAAGGAGGAAGGGGTCTAGACCTGCACACTGGCTCCTGCAGGGGCACCCCTGGCCCCTGAGCTGGGATGTTCTCCGATGAACTCTCTGGGTAGAATTGCCCGGTCACCCTCAGTGACAGCATCAGGAGCTAGAGGTAGGGGCAAGCCCCTGATTCTCACCGCCCAGGTCCCCCTGAGCCAGCCTCCCGAGGAGGAGCTTGAGAGGCTGACCAAGAAGCTGGTGCATGACATGAACCACCCACCCAGCGGGGAGTACTTCGGTGGGTGAGCTGACCCCGGGTGGGGCGGGAAAGGGGAGATGGGGCTGGAGAGTCAGAAGGTCCGTGGATCCAACTTCCCGGCCTGTGCAGATTGACCCTGTCCCTGCCCGTCCCCAGGCCGGTGTGGTGGCTGCGGAGAAGATGTGGTCGGGGATGGGGCCGGGGTCGTGGCCCTGGACCGCGTCTTTCACGTTGGCTGCTTTGTGTGTTCTACGTGCCGGGCCCAGCTCCGGGGCCAGCATTTCTACGCCGTGGAGAGGAGGGCATATTGTGAGAGCTGCTATGTGGTGAGTGGTTGGGGCTGGCGGGGGGAGGTTTCCAGTCTGAGATGGGAACTCGATATCCAAGCCCCAGAGAGGAATAGGGCTTGAAGCAGGGGAACTAAAACTGATACACAAGAATAGATGAATGAAGTCAGTAGCAATACACGGGCTGCTGGAGAGGAAGGACGATATTCCCTCATACGTGTGAGGCATTTATTTTATTTTATTTTAAATTAAAGATTCTTTTGGCAGCATCGGGTCTTAGTTGCGGCACATGGGATCTTTCGCTGCGGCACACGGGCTCTTTGTTGTTGTGCACGGGTTTTCTCTCCTCCAATTGTGGCTCTCGGGCTCCAGGGCACGCAGGCTCTCTAGTTGTGGCGCATGGGCTTAGTTGCCCCACGGCATGTGGGATCTTAGTTCCCTGACCAGGGATCGAACCCGCGTCCCCTGTATTGGAAAGAGGATTCTTAACCACTGGACCACCAGGGAAGTCCCGAGGCATTTATTTTAGATTTAAGGGAATGTGAGGCAGATATTACTACTAAAGGAAACTGAAGCTCAGGGAGGTTAAATAATTTGTCCAGGAAGCTGCAGTGCTGGGGCTCGCACTCAGATCTGTTCAAGGCCACCTTTCACTGAATCACATGCAGGGGGCTACAGAAACAGATGGGTAGGCTGGCAGGATGCCTGTAAGGGCTGCCGTGGGTGTCCCCAGCCCCCGACCTTCCTGCCCTCCTTCCCGACAGGCCACCCTGGAGAAGTGCTCCACGTGCTCCCAGCCCATCCTGGACCGGATTCTGCGGGCTATGGGGAAGGCCTACCACCCTGGCTGCTTCACCTGTGTGGTGTGCCACCGCGGCCTCGACGGCATCCCTTTCACTGTGGATGCCACCAGCCAGATCCACTGCATTGAGGACTTCCACAGGTCAGCGGGGTCCCCACCTTTTGTCTTAGGATGTCTGGCCTGGCCTTACCCACCTTCCTCATCTCTCCTTCATATCCCGGTACCAGCCGCTCCTGTTTCACACCCCTGGCCATACCTCCTTCTCATTAAAATCACTCTCTTTCCCTAAGATCCAAGACCCTACCTACCTCTGGCCTCTCCCGTTCCCTCCTGCATCCCACCTTCTCTGGGCTCTGTTGTTAGTTCCCTCTAACCCTGGGGCTTGACAGCCTCCTTGGTTCCCTTCCACCCCAGGAAGTTTGCCCCAAGATGCTCAGTGTGTGGTGGGGCCATCATGCCTGAGCCAGGTCAGGAGGAGACCGTGCGAATCGTAGCTCTGGATCGCAGTTTTCACATTGGCTGTTACAAGTGTGAGGTAGGAGGGCTGGGCAAGGGAATAAGGGTTTTTGGGGTCTGGGGTGCTGAGCACGAGGGAGAAGGAACTCAGGGGTCCGGGCCTGATGGAGAGCTGTTGCTTCTTTCCGAACAGGAGTGTGGGCTGCTGCTCTCGTCTGAGGGTGAGTGTCAGGGCTGCTACCCGCTAGATGGGCACATCTTGTGTAAGGCTTGCAGTGCCTGGCGCATCCAGGAGCTCTCAGCCACCGTCACCACCGACTGCTGAGTCTCCCCAGGAGCACCTGCTGTGTTCTCCCTTCCCATCAACCACCCTCCCCAACATCTACCTTTATAACTTTGTCACCAAATGCTGTCTCCTCTTCCTCCAATCATGAAATAATAATCCCTCGAGAGTTTGTAAAACACTTTGAAGTCTGTTTTCTTATCTGATTCTCACAGCAGAACAACACAAGCACGGTTGTTGTGACTGCCTGCGTTTTTGGCTAAGAAGTGACTTCCTGGGACTTCCCTGGTGGTCCAGTGGTTAGGACTCTGAGCTTCCACTGCAGGGGGCACAGGTTTGATCCCTGGTCTGGGAACTAAGATTCCCTCATGCTGAGCAGCACGGCTAAAAAAAACCCCCAGAAAACAAAAAGTGACTTCTTCAGCTTACATCGATCGCTCCCAAATGGCAGAAGCAAGTTCAGAAGGGTCTTCTTAGTCCTGGGCCAGTTTCTTTTGCAACTCCACTGTACACTCTTTTTAATGTAGTTTCTGTAAAGACACCCCTCCTCTCAGCGCTGGGAGCAGGGCTGCAGCATGTGCAAGGGAGGCAGCATTTCCTATTCTAAACAAGTCTTCACACTCAACTCACTGAACAAGGCGGGGGGGCGGTGCATTTAATCTGGGGCAACCCAGATCCTGCTTGGTGGTCAGGCCCTAAACCTATAACCGATCTCATCAAAGTACTGGTTGGGGTTTGCCACTTTTGCTTAAAGATGGGGTGCCTTTCTGGAAGAAGAGCAGGAACAATGGATTTTGCAGGTAGCACGTGCTGAGGCACCAACAAAGGCTGGTTCTCTGATGGGACCACAAAATGGTAGAAAAATGCTTTAAAATGGTTGCCGTATCCGCTAAACGCCCTCACTCCCCAA